GGGTCACTTGTGAGATCGGACCAGGTTACCTGTGAGATCTTTAGCAGGTTCTAGTCAAATCTTGGAAACCTCCAAGGATGGAGACTTCACAGCCTCAGTGGGTGGACTGTTCCAATGTCTGACTATCCTCACAGTGGATTTATTTTTTCATTTTATTGACTCTAAACTTCTCTAGATTCAATCTGTGCCCATTCCTTCTTGTCCTCCTACCTGGCTCTGTCTCCTCCATGACCTTTTGGGGGCTGCTTTCCTGTTGTCCCCAAGATCATCTCCTCTCCAGGCTGAAGAAGCCCTGGTCCCTCAGCCTTTCCTCACGGGGCAAGTTCTGACACCCTGGTGGCCCTCCCCTGAACTTGCTTCACTTTACTCATATCTTTCTTGTGTTGTGTAGCTCAGAACTGGACATAATATTTTAGAAAAGAACTGCCTGTGATACAGTTTTTAAGAAAGGATGGACTTGCCAAGAAGATGAGGCACCTAAATATTTAGGTAACAAACTTCATAAATTGCCTCGTGACAAACGTCACCCCAGAAGCTCTCTGCAGGTGGGTTTTTCTGCCTGCAGGTGAAGGTACAGGACCAGAGGGTTCTTGTCCTCCTCATTTTAATTACCCTTGTTTTGAAAGTCACGGCGTGTGCGTGACGCTCTGCTGCTTCAGAACAACTTGCAGGAGGACTTGCTTCTCCAGACACCACCCAAGAGCTGAGAACTGAGGATTTCGTTGTTCCCTAGTCGAGATAGAGGAGCAGAGACAGAAAGACGATTTGGTTTCTGTCAGTGTCAAAGCCAAGTCCAAGGTCATGAGTTCCTGATGCCCGTTGTGTTCTTTGCTTTCGGACCACACCTAAATTCCTCATGGTTTACGTTTAAAAGCTGAATGTTGTCTTACGGCTCGTTGAGGGCACAGAGACATGGATTACTGCTGAGAGTGTGTTGGGCAGCCAGCACCTTGAAGGCAAGCTGCTCCATCTCCCGTTCTGTCCGGAGGCTGAGGAATGGATGAAACAGCACAGTTGGCACCTCGGGGGGGGGAACTGGGAGGGATGTGGAGTGGCAGTTTTCAGCTCTCTCTGTTCATCTTTAGTGATAACTTGTTTTGGTATCAGAATGATTATCTGTGACAAAGTCTTATCATTCCTTTACTGCCACCTCTTGACAGGTACTTGTGGTTTCACTCCGAAAAGCTGCTTTTATTGTGCCTGCTTGTAGGGCTGAGTGGATCATCTGTGCTGGTTCTCTTCAGGGGCTGGGCCAAATGACCAGAACTGCACCATAATAAAGAAGCTCAAAATTCTCTGCTTGTACTTTCTGTAATGAAACATAAATTAAGCTTTTTTTTTTTAAACTGGTTTATATAACTTTTCTTTATTGCTGTTTCCTACATTTCAGAATGTGGTTTTGCAGTTTGGGGAGCAAAGTTCTATCAGAAAGACGCATAGATGGGGGCATGTATGTGGGGGGCCACACACGTAGGGGCAATGGCTTTGAACTGAAAGAGGGGAGATTTAGATTGGATATAAGAAAGAAATTTTTCACTTTGAGGGTGGTGAGACACTGGAGCAGGTTGCCCAGAGAAGTGGCTGCCCCATCCCTGGAAGTGTTCAAGGCCAGGTTGGATGAGGCTTTGAGCAACCTGGTGTAGTGGAGGGTGTCCCTGCCCATGGCAGGGGGGTTGGAACTAGATGATCTTTGAGGTCCCTTCCAACCCAAAACATTCTGTGATTCTACAAATACATGTATTGTTACAAATGTGGCTATGATAATTTTGGGTCTCAAACAGATGTTTATTTCTTAGGATATGAACACCTTCAGAACGACCATGGAGTGATAGTTGATTACAATACCTCAGACCCACTGATACGCTGGGATTCCTACGAAAATACCAGCCCTGACGGGGAAGGTGAGTAATTCGGTCTCACACCACAACAAGGCAAAACCTTTTGGACCGTTGGAAAGGGAGGAAGGAGAGTTCATTCTCTTGAACCTAATGCCGCTCTACTGATGCGTTAAGCAGCTGTTTACCCTTCCATATTTTGCTTTAGTGGCTCTAATGGAAAGAAAGTTGTAGTAGTTTTTTAAGAGATATTCCTGTTAGTGCTCTGAATTGGTCTGAGACACAACTGGTTGATACAAGTTACTTTATTATTTGTGAATCTGCCAAAAAATTTTTTTTTGTTCTAAAGCTTCCAGTTGAAATCCTAACATAGAATTTTAAGAACAATGAAATGATGTGGTGAGTTTGTAGCCTTCAGTACTCTACTGTGTTATCTGGAGTGCTACAGGAGGTGCACTAGACTGTAAGGTTAAGGACGAACAAACAGAAAAGGGTGCGCATATTTGCATATTTCCCCCCATAAATTTCCCGTTTCCGAATTGCCCTTTGGCATCTTAGATTTTTCTTCTGTGATTTGCTGTTGCATTCAGAAGATGAAAGCCTCCAGTAGCTGCCTGGAGATTCTGATTGCAGCGTGTGTATGCTTTCCTGATGCTTTGCTTGGGAGAATGTTGTGCTTTTAATGGATATAGTCACGTAAGGACTGTCACCCCTGTGTCTGCACACCTCAGTGCACATGCAAGCCTGATGTTGTTGCAAGTAAAAACATGAGAGAAGGTCCTGAATGGATGCCAAAGTTCTTATTTTTACAGCTCGCCTGTTATGAAATGAGAGAGCTAGGATACCTAATCAGCTGCTCTTTAGGCTCAGTTTCCATTGTGTTTTATAATCTGAATTCAGCATTGACCTTCTAATGACTACATTGGTGAGGGTTTTAGGGCAAAGGCATGCTGGGAGCTTGACTTTTCTCCACTGCATCGCTCCTGTACAGGACTATATCCTTATCCACAGTAGACTCCAATCTGCAGAAAACTAAGGGAAAAGAGGAGGTGAGAAGAGAACAGTCTTTTGGCACCGTTACATGGGGCAGGCAGGTAGAGCACTTTGTAGGGAGTCACCAGAGGTTTTCTGGTTGGATTAGATTGTGCAGTGTCTTTTAGAAAAAGTAACATCAGAGGGACCAAATCTTGGCCGAAGAAGATGTCTCAATTTCTACCCAGGATGTTTTCATATAATTTGCTTCCTTTGCCCTCACCCATCCTTTTCCTCTTCCTTTGTAAATACGTAGCCCTCAGCAAGCAATGCATCGATATCACATTTTTAACTGCTGGGATTGACTGGATAGATGGATTTGACCTTCCCATGCTCAAGCATTGTAGGTAGCTACATCAGTAGAGGAAGCTGAATGCAGAGATAAATGTGTAGACAGCACACTTCTGGAAGATACAGAACCGTATGCTGCTGGTGTCTTGTAGAAGACTCGATCATAGACCACGCACAAGTACGATTAGCTCGTTTTCCTGATGTTCAGAAGTCATACATGCCACTTAACAGGCTTTTATGTGCAATTTGTGTGTGCAGTATATTTTTAATTACCTAAGATACAACCTAAATACGATGTGTTAGCGTAGATATGGAGAATTTTATTGTGCATCTGCAGAGAAGTCACTAGAGTTGAAGCTAGAGAATATAGCATAAGAACATGAGATGTATCCAGATACTGTTTCTCAAGCAGGCATTTAAGAGGCAGGGCATTATCCTATGATGCTCAACAACGGAATTGCAGGCAGAGCGTTTCCTCTGTGCGGGCTGGGTGTAAGATCAGAATGGGCTAAAGCACTTCCACAGGGCACAGCTAAGTTTTTCTCTTAAGGATGAGATCTGTACTCAATGTACAGCTTACTCTGCTGCTTGAGGTAAACACAGTTTGCTTAGGTCTTCTCTTACGGAGCGTTTCTAAACACCAGGACAGACTCGTCTTAACGGTTTGGTGCAGTGGTTCAATATCATGCTTTTGCATTAAGAAGAGGTATTGAGTCCTAGTATTCACGACGAGTGAGGGACTGCTAAGAGGAGATGCTGATTTCACATCCAGAAAGCAAACAAAGTCAAAAACCTCAAGAGTCTGAAGCCTTTAGCTACAACCCTGAAGGCAGAGATAATATTTTTTTTTTTTTTCCTATATCTCAGAAAAGATTTAGATACAGGATGTGGTGTGTTTGAAAGTCTGTGTAACAGTGCTGGTATGTTTAAGATGCAGGGAAGTCTGGTACAGAGTCCATGTTTCAGATCTGCTCCACGTTAACTCCCAGTCTTGTGGAGGAGCTTTTAGTGAAATTCCCACAGGAATTTCAATAGGAATGATACGAGAGGTGTGACAGATGATTCTTGTATTACAGTTACACCTTTTTTGTTCATTTAAAAAAATGCGTGCCTCTGAAATTCCAGATGAAGATGGCCAGGAAGGCTACAGGAGAGCTTTGTGAAACGAACAGGATTTGCTTTGTCAGTACCTGTGTGTGGAATGGCTGTTCCCAAGCTGATGTATTAAAATGGAAAACTAGAAGTGGACAAGAAAGCAGTATGCCTCTTTTGAAATCCTACACCTATTTGGCCCTGTTACCAAAAAGAAGAAAAGATGAAAGGACATGATAAAAGAAAAATGTACCAAAAGTATCTCGGCTTGTTGGCATGATGCAGTATTGCAGACAGAAGCAACTGCCTTTTAAATAATCTTGAACCCTTTGATGGTCATGAGGTTGTGTACGTTTCTGCTGAATATAGGCAGGCTTTGGACAGTTTGCTCTCTGGATTTTGTTCCTCATTGCTCCTTCTTAATGGTATAGGAAAGCAATAAACGATTTGAATTTCTTCTCATAAATACCGTTTCTCTTCAGATCCCGTGAGAAGTCTCTCTTGTGTATTGCACTAATGATCCTCCATAATAGACTGAAGATTTTATTCAGTTTCTAATTCGAAGTTTGTGTCAGATTTCCTCATCCTCGAGCAGTACGTTAGCACAGAGAGTTCTGGTGTGCTGATGTCAAAGTACGCAGTCAGTCGTAGGATTTGGAACCACAAGAATCAGGAGGTCTTCCTGCTGCCGTGCAGCAGTCCGAGAGAGCTGCCCTTGGTTTTCCTGCGGTTTTGAAGTCATGGTACTCATCAAGTCTGGTGTGTGTTTTGTGGGCAGGAAGGGACAGAAATCACTTTTGATCTTGCTGAGTACTCTCGTGTTTATTTTTTTTTTTGGCCTTAAGGCATCACTTAGCATACAACAGGAGTGAATGGATTTACAAAAGGTGTCTCCTTTACTGCAAAGCAACAAGTTGACCACAAATATGTACCACCTGTGGCCACAAATAAGCAGTGTCTTCTTTTATGTCAGGAGATTTAAAGGTGTCCCAGCTCCTCTTGATAATCATGTTTTTCAGTTTTTGCCTTGGATATTGTAGCTCACATACTTTCAGCTGCACTTTGATGTCTGTCTTCCTTTTGATGGCCAAGGTCGTATGTCTCCTTCATATTTAGGCTTATTTGGGAATTGAGATTGTTCATGTTAATATTTTGGAAGTAGTTTGATGTGAAGTGATGAACTAAACTAATGTGGGCTTAGTAGCTATTGTTATCAATAACTAGTAAAAGCAATTACTGCTTATGATTATGGCATTTGGGGCAGGGAGAGGAGGAGGAGTGATAAATGAGGATGAAGTATTTTCTATGGGAACAGAAAGTTGAAAGAAACAAGTAATGCCTTCCCACTCCCTGAGAAACTGCTTTTATGCTTTACACTTACTAATGTTTCTTTCTCCCTCAAATACCAAATGACAGCTAGTTGTGAAATAAGCTCTCCCCTCGACCAGAGGGAAGAGGAAAATGAAAAAGATTTGACTTGCCTTTTGTTGAGCTGTTTGTTTTTTGGTTGTTTGGTGGTTTTTTTAGTTCTCAGTGATAATTTTCAGGATTATTACTTGGCATAATGAGTTAAGAGATACTATTTTAAAAACAAACATTTCCCTCCTGCT